TACCTACGCGAAATACAATATTTCGCCTAATGAAAAGAGCAGATCAACTGGTAATTCATTTAATTTTCTTTTAACCGAATCACTTATTCGTGATAGACAGGATGAACTTTCTATTCGTGTAAGATAAATGATTGACAAGAAAATTAGGAAGGTGGGATGACAAAGGGAAGAAACACGTGCAGCTGTAAGGGCAATTAACACTTCTGTTTCCATTGTTATCCGACGAGCCCCTCGGAACCCTATCTGTCGCACGGTCAGGTTCTTTTCATACCTGGAAATCCCTGTGCACACACGTTTTCTACTGTGTACACTTATCCCGCACCGAAACTGGCCAGACCTGCTAGAGCTAACAGGAAATTTCTCGGTGATCTATTTCAGGAAGCAGGGAAGCAGCTTTCACGTACGCGATAAGTTCGGCGGGTGTAACGTACGCCGTAACCGCAGCTTGCAGCAGGGGCAACATCACCGCGTGCGGTTGCGAATCTACCGTCAGGTAAACTACTCCTTTTATTCTCGTTCCGACTGGTTAAAGCCTATATAGTTAGTGCCGTTATTTGCGCAGCAACGAGCATGCCTACGTGAACGCGACAATTTATAGCTTGATGTAGGCAGAACAAACAATTTCGCGTTTCCTAAATGAACGCGAGCTTTTGAAAGAATGAGTAAATTCTATAGAATTTACTGAACGGGCATACCATTTTTTCCCAATGCAAATCGAATAGATACACGCGTAGCTGGTTCTTCTTATTTGTTATAGAACAAGAAAGGAATTGCCGCCGAACGGATGGGAATGGGGCGGCTGCAGCGCGGATGTCACTTACGGAATGAGGTAAAAGTCTATACGAAACGTCGGGAGTACACTCTACGATCTGAAATGAAATCCGGAATTTGTATTCGTGGCCACGAGCTCCCCTAGCTCGTGCCACCTGCGTGTAAAACCTCGATATGACGGCGTGCACGTCACGACAGTTGTTATACACGCGTGGATTTTAATATTGCGATTTAATGTTAGGTTCGCGCGTAGGTTTCTGGACGCGAGGGAGGTCGAGGGTGACGCGAGGAGCCTGATGAACCTCCATAACAACAAAGCCGGACGGAAGGTGAGTAATGCCACTCCTCGTTAATGAATCATTCTTCACGAAATAACAGAAAGCCACCCCTACGTACGTTTTTATTTTATTATTAACTCTACGATCAAATCTTTATATGCAACGTGAAAACTAGGGAATGAAAATTTGCCATGAGTCAAGTAACAAGTAAAAGGGGTGTCCAATTTTCTTGTTCCTAGCAATTTCTGGATGTTTCTGCTAATACCTTAGTTGATAGTCACGAAAAAGTGTTAAACAGTACTTAATACCTTTACTAAGCTGAAACAGCTATAAGTACTATAAATTACTTGAGAAATATAATAGCCGGGCAGTCAGGTGAACCTGAAGTGCGATTTGAACGCCTGCATAGAAACCAACGTCGGCTCTCGTGTAAAGACTGATTCACACACAGATTTTCTTTATTTTACCCTCTTTCATATTCATCGTAGTTTTAATCAAGAAACGACGGTTTTCAATATCAATATAAAATTAATACGAAAGACGTACGATAAAGATTCAGGTTTGCACGAACTCGTGTACGGGGATATGTAGCACGCTAACGATTTATTCTTAACGTCGATCGGCGCGGCGCAACGCATACTTTATAGGTACCAGAGACCATTTTTTTCTTCGAGCCCACCTCTGCACAGCCCCTTGCCGATAATTCGAAATGTAAACCAGTTTCCTGAGCGTAAGCGCATCGACCGAATAGCAGACACACACCGAGCCGAGCAGATGGAACTCTCTCCAGACACGATTGACAAAATTTTTTTTATGCATCTAATGTAAAGTTTGATTCGCTTTATATCTGAGTACGAGAGAATGTGACCCACTAGATGATGGAGACTGAGATTGGTCATATGCGTATCTTATAATATCGATTTAATCTGATATTTATGTGCAAGGGAGACGGATATGCTAATCTCTGTGTTTCGCAATTCAGTATTAATATACCCTTTTCTGGCGTTGCGTTGCTGTATGTTGCTGACCTTAAAATCAACCAAAGCTTAGTTTGGAAAAAAATTGCTGTCTCTCGTAGATACCGACGTAGCCGGATTCAAATGGGGCGGCTTGCCTGAATAAAACTATAAAATTTAATGTTCTAAGCGAAAGTAACAACAAGATTTATGGCATAGTCGTGACGACGATCTCTACTCGTCGAAGAATTGTTATGTACATCTGCAAATCACAATCTGAGAATGTATCTTGTCAATAGATGTTTGATTCCAAGCTTGAGAGCGGGATTGTACACGGGATAATGAAAGATTGAAATAGCTCTATAAATGGCAAGACCGCGGACTAGATTTACGCTCGTTTTCAGATAGTCAAAGCATTGTTGCAAACGGAATGCAAATGCCACGGCGTGTCCGGCTCGTGCACCGTGAGAACCTGCTGGAGAACGTTGCCCAGCTTTCGTCAGATCGGCGACGCCCTCATGAAAAAGTATTACAGAGCCAGGCCGGTGATAGCCATTACTCCGCCGCCACCCCCTACGATTCAGGTACAATAAAATTTCTGTAAAAGTGGGTCGGCGTTTCGCAACGTGCAATATACAAGATTACAGCGTGAAATTGTTCGTTTTAACAGAGTTTAGAAACGTTGCACTCGACGTCGGCCGAGATGGTACAGATTTTGGGTAACGACGCGAAGACTCAAGGGAAACCAAGTGACGTTGGGAAATCCCGGCCACCGCCAAAGAAAATCATGAAATCAAGGAGGCCACATTTGGTGTTGAAGAGATCGAAATCGATCGGCGGTTCGTCGGTGGGACAGAAAAGGATTCCAAAGAGAAACGAATTGGTTTTCCTGCAACCATCCCCCAATTACTGCGAGCCGGATCTGGCTCAGGGCAGTCTAGGCACGCAGGGAAGATATTGCAACCGCACCAGTAAAGGTAAACCTTCGATCATCAATTAAAGTTGATTTTATATTGTTAGAAGTTGCATTGTTTCATCTGTCTGATCGATTGATTTTACAGGAACGGACGGATGCGATCTGATGTGCTGCGGCCGCGGTTACAACACGCATCAGTTCACAAGAAAGTGGCAGTGCAGATGCAAATTTCACTGGTGCTGCCGGGTGCATTGCGAAACGTGCACCGAGCGCACCGAAGAGTACACGTGCAAATAAAACGAAGCGATGTAAATATTTTAGCGATAGAGGACAAGCGTGGCGACAGAGTTAAGAGAATATCATTTACGGTCGATGAACCAAGTTATTTATAATTTGTGAACTGGCGTTACGATATTCTTTTTTTTTTATAAATGATAAACTAGAAAATGCGATGTAGCATCGAACGATTAGAAGAAGGAAACGAATGACTGGGTAATGAATAGTTAGGAAAAGTGTCCGCGAGAACTTGGAATACAGCAAGGGGTTCCTTTACCTCTTATTGGGATTTTCCCGGTACAGGTTTTCCTGATTATTCTCGCTCCCAGGTAGAACCGACCCTCTCGAACTAGCTTCGAACAACGAAAATTATTCGCAGTTATAAACGTTTAACATCCGACTTCCCCAGCGAAGACGATTTGAATTCAGAGTATTTTGTTTAAATCTGTCTACATAACTCTGAAGCAAACATTTCGGAATTGAAATAGTATTGCCATGCGAACAAATCTGCGAGTCACTGTATATAATTAAGATTGAAACCTAGAACTAGCGTACTTCGAATAGTTTGTAAGATAGTTTTAGAAAACTCGTCTATAAATTCCAGCTCGAAGCGCGATTACATACTACAGCCCAATGGTACATAGGCCTAGATAGGAGTAATACGTAAATTATTATTTATTCAACAACGTAAACTATGAAGATAAGCAGTGTACTCGCTACGACTAATAAATATGAATCGCATTTTTCTCAATCTCTACCTTGCTTTACTTCCTGCCATTATGTACATATAAAACGTACCACGATTTTATTAATTATTCTAACTTCCTCGGTTTTCCTCAGTTTATGTAAGATAATTATTAAGCGTCTGTTTTTCAAAATATTTCTGCGAACTCGACGAGGTACGTTGTTAAATGGGGCCTGAACCGGGCTGTACTTCAGGTAAAATTTCGATACCCTAAGCCCTAAGTACAGTAAATACTAGACAAGAACGGACTGACCTGGCCGATACCTATCTAAATTCGGAAACCGCTTTGGAAGTTCAATTCCTGTTCAAAAGCGGAGTGTCTCTGCCCTGCAGACGTCTTGGGTTCATCTTAGAACGGTGAGTGCTCATATTTCAAATTCGCACTGAGTATTTATTTATTTTTTACATAATACGGAGATAGCGTACCGTGAATTCGGCAAGAGTAGAGTCATAGTTATGATAAGTCAAGGGAACGGGGTACACATTATGATACACAAAGAGCCGTAAAAACTTTTCCGATGGCCTATATGTGTAACTTATTATATTATTTAATAATATAGATTTGAATTTCCATTTCGAATTATTTGTTTCAGATATCTCAATAAAACAAAATGCCAGAACCTAGTCGGAATAATATGAATTGCCCGTATGGACCAATCAATTACCGATACCTCCCGACCACGTACTTCTTTATTATGTCTGTCCGTATGGCGATCATCGCTACCGATTCATCGGTCCGAGCTGACGGATCGTGAAAATAATGCGTTGATAAGACATGAAGGCGACCACCTGAGACGCTTGGAACGGGACCTACCCCCACGGCCTCCACGATCGCCACCGCCGCCGTCGCCACCACCCGTTCGAATACCGGAAGAAGAAGAATTTATAGAACGTTAATTTGAACGGAAATATAATTAATATAATAATGAATTTGAACGGAATAGCTCAATGAGGCTATAGTTTTTGATATACTTTATTATATTAGAAGGATATATTTGGGATATTCTTCTGTATACTTTTTTTATGTTAGGACTTTAGATAAGTTTACGAGTGATAGCTAGATGCAAGTGATATATTTTTTATTCATTGTTATAACCTTTGCGTGTAACAAAATATTCTAAAGCGTTTAATACAGTCAGTTTAATCGCAGTCTTTACACTCTCATACTGTTAAAAAATAATAAAATGTAATACATTATATGTTTAGTATAAAAATAAGGATCTGTGCCTGTATGTATGTGCGCATTCACCGTACTGTCAGTATGAAAAATCTGAACCTTTCAGTGAATTAAAAGCATTTAAGTAAAAAAATAAGAGTTCAATGATTTGTCTTATCCTAAATTAAAACTTAACTTAACAACATACATTTTGTATTAAATTCTAAGTATTCGTTTATTAAATGTCCTTGAGTAACTTCTGCGCTTCTTGCTTGGCCTCGCGATCGTCTTCGCTTTTCGCAGGATATTCCATAGTCATCTTCAAATATTTCAAAGCTTCTTCTTTCTCGTTTAATTTTAAATAAGTCTTCCCCAACATCAACAAGTTGTAGCTGTAAAAATTAGGATCGATTGCTTCTGCATTTTTAAAATATTTCAATGCTTCTTCGAACGTTGAAGTCGGTGGCTCCCCAAATATCACTGATGCTATTTTTCTCTGGTACCATGTTAAGTCCGCGACTTGATAACACCAGGAGCCCAGCATGTACAGAAGTGTCGGATCCATTGGATGTAATTCCATTGCCCGCAGCATGTGCTTCTTAATGTTATAAGATTCCTTTATCTGTGCTTTTATTCCTTCGTAAAGAGTTTTTGTATTGAGAATGATGGATGCCCACTTGTGCAGAACCCAGTGATCCTCTTTTATTTTGAGGGCATCCAATATCAGATCATGAGCTTCGAAGATCAATTTCTTTGCATCCACTTCATTGCTTATTTTAGATACCTTGTACATTGCTCTGCACAAACGCCATATAATCTCAACGTCTCCGCTGTCCTACAAAGATTCATGCTTCCACAGTTTTCCATAGGTTATGCTATTTGGTTCGTACTGTAAGTTTAATTATGTACTTTGTAGTTCGATAGAAGCTGTTGTATCTCAAGATACTTTTCCTGGTCATAAAGTGCATCGGCTTTTGCTATTAAAACTTCTTTAGTAGTTATGTGCGTTTCATTTTCACCCTTTTTCTTTGTAAAGCCCCAAATAGCCATCACAGTAAACGGGGACGCGGTAAACAATTTTGTTCCTAATGTAGGGTGGTTGCATTTCTAGTAATACGTATTATAATATAATTAAATTCTTTTAAATGATTAGTTAAGATCTGCAATTTATTGTTAGTTACGCTTACGATTATTGAAAGACAGTCAAATTATCAAGTTGGAAATGATGATCGAAGGTGTCAGACTTTCTTATTAAATGTAACGTGCAGAAGTAGAATATAAAATCGAGCTTAAATGTTAATTGCAAACCTTTCGTGAATATTGAAAGCCTCTATGCGCAAAAAAGCGTCTGTGCAATATCTTTGTATCTCTCGCAGTAAATAGTATTTTTCGTAAGAACATATCAAACGGTGATACTTATATCGAGAAAATGATTCGAAAATTTGTCTGTTTACTAAATATTGACAGATCAAAGTGAAAGTTCCACGTCAGATCGCAAGGACCGCGAACTAATCCTGGCGGCGAAATCGACAACCGACCGAGCCGAGAGAGTGGGAACGCAGATATTTAAAATTATGCCGCTCTCGACTCTACAATTTTTCTAAGATCATTTCAGTAAATTTGAAAATTCGTACAGCCTTTCGTTTTTATTTAGAGGAAGAGAAATTTGTCAATTGTTCTTATCTATTTATTATAGGAAATATGAGCTATAGATCTCGTAAGGTATGGATTCTTATACTTATTCATTTCCGGCTCTCCTCTGGTCTCGCAAGTAATGTATTTTATTTTAAATAAACGAATCTTCACTTTTTCCATTTTATAGACGTGTAACAGATAAGGGAGATCAGTACGCAAGTGCAAAAATAAATATAAGCGAAGCGCACGATACTTACGTGTCATGGCGGTAGCTTCATATATTGATTTTGGTCCAGTGGGATGCAGAGCAGTCGTATTTTACTGAACACGTTTCCCACTCGTCGCCAGTGAGGGTAATATTTAATATGCTATACGCTCGTTTAGTATTCGATAAAGTTAACTCGAGTGTCGTTGCATACGGTGTCGGCAGGTGAACGTTCTTTTACTGGGAGTGGTCACTGCCGTCTTAATCGTGTACAAAATTTGTAAATATTTAAAATGCAAATTGTAACATTAGCTGTTCTTTTTAATACTCTTCACATTATACACGGTAAGTCTCTCCCATCTCTCTCTATTTCAAATGCTCGACGATCTGTTACTTTCTCATACAAAAATTTTCATCTACGCTCTGTTTCAATATCTTCGGTACAATTGAGCCAAAGAATTGCTTAGATTTATTTAAAATTAAAGACTGTACGAGTTCACGTCTTGAACAGGTTTAGGGATAAAAACTTACGAGGCGAACCCTGACACGAAGAGACTTTACGATGATTTACTGTCGAATTATAACAGACTCATTCGACCTGTTATCAATAACACCGAGACCTTAACGGTTTGGCTCGGTTTGAAGCTGTCGCAGCTAATCGAAATGGTAAGAAATCTTAAACTGAAATAGTAGTCGGATCATTGATATTAATCAGACCTGTGAATTTGTAGAATTTAAAAAACCAAGTGATGACTACTAATGTCTGGGTAGAACAGGTAAAAGTTTTTTAAGAAATTATAATCCTTCTTCAAGTACATTACCATGGAACATTTCCATTTGTAGAAATGGTTTGATTATAAATTACGATGGGATCCAGAGGAATACGGCGGCGTAGAGATGCTATACGTGCCTTCCGAAAATATTTGGCTACCAGACATCGTCCTATACAATAAGTAAATTAAAATATTTCCTTTTAATAGTTCAGAAGATGAATCATGAAATTTGTTACAGCGCCGACGGTAACTATGAAGTGACGTTGATGACAAAAGCGACTTTGAAGTATACCGGAGAAGTATCCTGGAAACCGCCAGCGATTTACAAATCGTCCTGCGAGATAAACGTAGAGTATTTTCCATTCGACGAACAATCGTGCATCATGAAATTCGGCTCGTGGACGTACAACGGCGCTCAGGTTACAGCTCGAAAATACTGTTCAAAGCTAAGAAATAACTATTTGTTGCGAAGGGAATCAATTTTATAAAGTGCAAGTAATTTATATTAATGTCGTTTGTGGGAAATATGCTTTGTAAAGACTTTTACTCTTGTAGGTGGATCTGAAACATATGAAACAGGAGCCCGGGAGCAACCTGGTTGCGACGGGGATAGATTTAAGCGACTTTTACTTGTCGGTGGAATGGGATATTCTAGAGGTGCCGGCGTTCAGGAACGAGGAATATTATCCATGTTGCACGGAGCCCTATTCTGGTAAATAAACGCGATCGTTTTCAATTAAGATCATAAATTAACATGCTCCGTTGCGATTTATGCAGATATCACGTTCAACATTACGATGCGAAGGAAAACTTTGTTCTACACTGTTAACTTGATAATTCCTTGTGTGGGTATTACGTTCCTTACGGTGCTCGTATTTTATCTGCCCAGCGATTCCGGTGAAAAAGTAAGTGCGTTATCAAAAAATAACAGACATAGGAACGAGTGCTACCGATCTACATTTTTACAGGTATCGTTGTGCTCTTCTATTCTTCTCTCGTTGACAGTGTTCTTTTTACTGTTAGCCGAGATTATACCACCGACGTCGCTGGCCATACCGCTTTTAGGAAAATATTTATTATTTACCATGATTCTAGTCACTCTATCGATATGGATCACTGTTTGCGTTTTAAACGTCCATTTTCGGTAATTAATACTGTACTCTCGTTTATTGTAATATCGCAATGAAATACTGGAACTCGGAAATTTTTATTCAGATCTCCGTCAACGCACAACATGTCGCCATGGGTCAGACAAGTATTTTTGAATTGGATGCCTCGAATGCTGATGATGCGACGCACGCCGTATTCAACTCCGGAATACGACGATACTTACATGGACAGTGGATATACCAATGAAATTGATTTCAGGTAATCATTTAGTTATTGAATCACTGAAATTGATAACATGTACTTTTGTTTCATCAACAGCGTCAGCGATTACCCGTTGGAATTGAAAGGCAGCCCGGACGGATTTGAAAGCGTTACTTCCCAATATAAAAATATGAGGGAAGACGACGCCCGACTCATGCCGCACGCATCAGGTAAGTTCGTATCAAATTTTATTAATACAATTTATTGTTACAATACGCGACGTGTCCGAACAGTCTTTCAAGTAAAACGTAGAAATAAATAAGTTTATATTAAAATTAATAATAATTCCATGATCTATGAAATATGTATAGCACGTATAATATTGTTCCAGTCACAGACAGTGAAAACACGATGCCCAGACACTTATCACCCGAGGTCATATCAGCCCTTAAAGGTGTGCGTTTCATTGCTCAACATATAAAAGACGCGGACAAAGATAACGAAGTGAGTTTTGTCAAGATTCGTTCCGTATAATTTCGATGCCCTTCGATTCGATCATTAATGAAAAATATATACATACACACATCCACATTGATTTAATCTAATATTCTACGAGCCCATCTTTTCTATATGATTCTATATGATTTTTAGGTAATAGAAGATTGGAAGTTTGTAGCTATGGTTTTAGATAGGCTCTTTCTTTGGGTTTTCACACTAGCGTGTACCGGAGGAACTCTTGGCATAATATTTCAAGCGCCAAGTTTATACGATACGCGTGAACCCGTGGACCAACAGCTAACTGGTATATCATTCCGTAACTACATGTATCCGAACCTAGACGAGATTTTACAGGGGGATCCTAACGCGTCAGAGATAATACGAAGAAACCTATGAGAGAACCGCCATACTATAAAATGAAAACCAAACCGTCGAGTCGCTCAGTTTTCTAACGATATCAATTTTACCCGTTTTATTTCTTACAACTTCAGATCGACTTTTATAAAACTAAAAAGTGTTTAGAGAGTAAGCAGTTTTATTTACCCTGGCCAACTAGGAGCGCCGTCGGAAGAAGGAACACTTAGGTTTAATTAGATTAATTAATACTAGCATGAATGCAAACAAAAAAACCTTTGCAATAAAAATATTTACACCTTACTTTTCTCGTTTCTTCATTTGCACGTCGTCAGGTTAATATAGTAGGCTTAGATTGGAAAAACGACGGATGACTTTTATTATAAATTATTATAATTCTTTACGATAGAATTACATTATCTATTTTCGTACGATACTGAAAAAATATAATAAAGTATTTCACTCGTTAGTACTAGTTTTATCTTAGTAACTCAATTTTAATCGAACCGAATCGAAAATCGAATCGTTGATAGGTATGTATTTACAGTTACCAAACGCAAATACCATTCTGTTTATATGATTGTGCCCGATTTTATGTACCAAAAGTAAAAACGTCATGAATACCATTCTATCTTAAATCACAGAACTAATCAACTTTTGGTTTCTGTTCTGTACAAGATCGCGTATATTTTTAACAAATTCACCGCGTTCGTCTTCGATGCAAGATTTGTTTAGCGAATGAGTGCACAGCATTACGAATAGCACAAAAATAAATCTTCGGATTTACATCAATTAAAGTAAAAATCGTGATGACTAACGCGAGCGGTGAACTCGTTCAAAATACGGTGAAACGGTAAATATAAAAATCTCTATTCTAAATCGATTATCATTAGTTCCGGGGATTCGCTCGTACTACTGATAGAGCTGGTTTGTGCCTTTTTCGGCGATAATGTACCGAGAGCTGGTTTCTTTGTACTTTGCGTCGGCGTTCTACTTTCCTCGTCGTCGTCACTGTCAGATATTAAGTCAATAACCACAGCCCGTTTCTTTTCCTTTGGCGGCGCAGGATTACTTTCGTCTAAACAATTAGTAACGAACGAATCGTACGTGGATACTTTTGTCCATAGATGAATTCTGTACAAAGACTTACCTAAATCTACTGTATCCACATCAATCTTACGATCCTGATTCGAATTGGTCACAACGTTCGCGTCGCTCTTCTCTTTATCCTTCTCCTTCTTCAAAACCAAATTCTCCCAGGATCCATCTTGCAACAACTGAATTTCGTTCACATCCGGTAACAATTTCTTGGAACTCAACACCTCTTGAAAGTATCCGTCAATAACTAAATTATCGAAAAATGCAGGTTTGTCGCACACTGGACAGTTCCACGTTGGTTTCCTCTCGTTCATTTGAAGGAACAATGAAGCATCGAAACACTGTAAATGCGAACACGTGGTCGATCGGGACGGCGTCACCATTCGCATCTTCCCTAACGGACAAGCCAACGATACTCTGAGCGATGTGGTTGCTATTTCACTGTCAGCGTCTTCGTTAAGCTTTTCTTTAACTGGAAGGAGAATGTTCGACACACTTCTTATTTATCTTTCGACGGTATCACGTAATAATTGAAACGATATTTGATCCGATGCTTACTTAAACCTCTTGTATAATCCGAAGGTCGAACACCTCTGTTTTTCAGTCTCGTTAATAACTCTGTGCTAGAGAGCTTTCGGACGAGGTAAATCGCAATCGCATAACGTCTACCATAATCAGCAGACCACGTAACATGAACTTGATTAGCTACTGTAGGAGATAACTTAACTAAGGGGCTAATATTTACAGGCCGCGGTGGCCTCTTTGGTTCTACCCCAGGCTTATTAGTAGGTATCGGATTCTGAAACAAAAAGGAAATCACTTAACGATATTACAATTACGATGATCATGACATCATTTGTATCTTCCCGTACCGGCAAGGGACAAATCTTTCCGTTAACTTTAACACCGATACTTGGAGGAAAACAGTCTTCTTGTTCGCACGAGGTTTCTTGTAAGCAAAACCTCATTTGTATCTGCAACACGCCATACAAATCATTGAAACGTTTAACATGCACTCGACGTCGCATCTCAAATAAAATATTTGAACCTTACCTGCACCGTGTAATCCATTTTGCCACCTTGACGAACATCTCGCGAACTAGCCACGTCTGTCGATTGTTGTGGTGTTAAGTGAAACACAAACGTGTTCTCTTGAAGCCTCATGGATCCTTGCGGCATCAGACTAGACGGCTTCAACAGCTCGGCCAACAAATCGAAGAACGGTAGCCTTTTAAGCTTGACATCAGGATGAACCGGGTATTGACTCCTCGGTTGCATTTGCAAGGGTGATGGCAAGACTTTTGGGTAGGCATATGGAGTAAACCCTGCATTTGTCGTTTGCTAAAATATTCGTCCAGTTAATAGATTCCGAGAGAGAGAGAGAGAGAAAGAGGGACATTATATACGAAGCTTGTATTAATTTACTTGTGGAGTTACACTTGTGTACCCTGTTGACTGATATACTGGATTGGTTCTGGCGATCGGTGCTTGAGGTAGAGATGCCTGATGTGCAGGAGGTAACTCTTTCGCGCTGGTAACCGCAGCCTGCTGCTGCTGTTGTTGGCTGATCGCTTGTCTTTATATTTATCAAAAATAATTAGTAACGTTCCTAATTTAATATTTACTGGCAATCATAATAAATCTATATTTTCTCCATGCAACCAATTGCACGTTTCTAACCTTGTGTAATAATTTCTGGAATGCATGTTTTGATCTATCTGTGGCTCTGTAGAACTACCTGTTTGACCATACATCTGATGCGCGGCTAGCTGATCAGCTCTAAACAAAATTAAATTTAAAAGATAATGAAACTACAGTTTTACGTTGACAGCTTATTGATAGTTAGTATTGTTATTATTCTAATTGTTATGAGACTCAAAGTATAATAATATGCCATAGTAATTACAAAGCAAAAGAATGTGTCTTTTAGCGTATTCAGCAAAATTAATATAAGAACGGAAAAAGAATTTTGGTGGACAGCGATTAACAGACGCTCTCCTAATAATTGAATATAACATACAAGAATAGTTGCATTGTCATTAATAATCTTATACTCACTGTATCGTTTTATACAATTCACGTATTTTTAGCTGAACTGGGTGGGATCTCAAACGCAACAATTCTAGCGCACGTGCTTGCAATTCGTTTTTTCTACCTGATTTATTTCTACCAGCAAAACCAAGAAGCATCTGAAGTTCAGACACTCGAAAACTCAATACCATATTCTGCAATCATAAAATTGTGCGTGTGCACATTTTATTTCGTTAAACTTATCTCTAAAAAAAATTATCTTAAACCGGAAAGAAATACGCAGTATTCAGCGCACTCAGAATGAAGAAATTAATATGAATTCTTCTTTATTTATCTCAATTCAACTATATATACGTAGAGTAAATTCTTATATTAATCATTATATACATAATTGCAGAAATACGGAATAAAATTTAGAGTACCAGGCATAAGGATCATACTTCAAGTTTTCTATCCTAACAATAAAATGATTACATGAAGCGTTTCGTTACATTAAATGAGACTTGTACATTAAAACATTGACAGTCCACGAAACTTACAGATGTCTGTATCGTTATTTTACATTATAACTGTCATTGAATCGAATGAAGACAACTAAAAGAAGTCAGTAAGAAACGCAGTATGAGATACAGATTAAGAAAGATAAGAATATAGAATAAAGAAAGTTGTATGTAATTATATACATACAGTAGCTGTAAGAGCTCCAAGCTAATTGTTAATAGTATTTCTTAAATAATTAAAAAAGACGTCAAAATAAGAAGTGTATGCAANCATCCCATGGATCCCAAGCATTTTGGACTGTAAATGTATTAATGAAACCAATTTCTTGTATAAGAACATTTTCAATGTGATGTTCAATCATAATTTGTGAGAGTAGACAAGAACGACGATGAGAAGTATTTTAATTGAAAAAAAAAGAACGTTAGGTTACCTATAATTACGGTGATACTGGCGTATTTCGTAAGAGATAGGCCGTGAACGCGGCATATTTGCGATCGGAACTTAACCGAGGCGAGAATACTATGTATATATCGATCAATTTTCGATATTTTACCGATTAACTTAAACGATTACGTTGATAACGCGTAAACGGCCAAAAACTGGTACAGGTACTGCATCGTACGAAACGGCCGTTAATATTGACTACCGACCGATCACTCTAATCACTAACGGACACTGTAAATCGCTGATAACTCGGTTACGGCGTGTGTAACCACTACAGTTTCTCGACGCGAACTCGCGTAGTAATCCCAAAAAATATCACACGCGATCTAATCACACTGTTACCACTATTGATACTTCACTCACCTCCAATTCTTTTGTCTCCGCCATCTTCTTGGAGGATTTTTTTGGCGAAGCCGTTTTGTCTATCGTTCTTTCCAATTTCGATAGGAAAAATCTCTTACTTCGCCTCCCTCCCTCTTCTTCGAATCGGGCCGTGTCCTCTATTCGCCTATACATATACGTTTTACTGCTTTTTAAATCGTTATCGTATGTATGTACGTGATATATTATATCTTGGCGCGAAACCCTTGTGTTTGTATTCTGATTGCCGGAGTTATTTAATACAATAACTCTCCTAAACGAAGTTATAATAATAGAAAGAAATGTTTATTCAACTGCATCGGAAGAAGTAAATTTTATCGATGTCAGACACACTTCTTTCGTTGAAAACGTGAAAAGGGATTTTCCAAGATGGAGGCTTGCACTTGATCAACTACAAACTACCTTCCACTCCTAGTATAATTAGATAAAATGGGAAGCCTGAATATCAATTTTCTCGGAATCGATGCTCAAATATATAAGTTAAATGACTTCTCGCATTTCCTAGCAATTAAATGTTTTATTACAATACTCACTTTCAAAGGCTGGAAAGTATATTTTTAATCTGCTAATCACGTTCTCGGAGTTGTTCATTAAATGCACATTATAATGAAACCAAATAAAACACGCTCAAAAAATCGGAAACAGCAATGCACGCTGCTCTGGCCGATGTAAAACAGAGAAAATTTTAGGAGAATCTATCTTTATAGTAATTAATCTTTAAAATATTTTCACCAATTTTCACTAGCTGTTTTGAAATCTGATTCGTCTACGCCTAGTAAAATAATACGTTTTACTAGACAGAATGCAGTTTACAGGACAGATTTTATCTATACATATCGATGAAGAATTCCTGGAACGTCTGCAACTGCGACCGCAGCAGCAGCGACCGTAGGTCTCATGAAAATGAGTCATACTTCCTAGCGATGAAACCGCGTACATATTACACATATATTACACATTTATATCTATGACAATTCAAAAACATGGCTACCATGTGGAAAATAAATTAGTCGTAGTACAGTTTGTAAACAAGTTTCTTATTTAGTTTTTACGATCATTTTGTTTTCGTGCCACGAAGGCGAGATCTCGTTCGCGTCGATCCTAAAGAAATACCGACCGTATTTCCTCGATGAGATTTACACAAAATAATTGAGCGCTGATTTCACCAAGTGAAACTATTCGTGTTTTTAATAATACCTATGGCCACGATTTTCATGCCTATCTGATACATCCTAACGGATTTCTGAAGAATAAAAACGTAAACGGAGTCTAATACTGTTCTACTTGGTTATTGGGCACTACATATTTCCAAGTGAAACATACACAATGGTAACCTTACTATGCGATCTGAATAAACTTACGATAAACAATCAAATTAAAATGATTTAACGACCATTCGTCGAATGAATCTGCTTGAAATTAAAAATAACAGTTATATCTTCGTACTATTCCAAGACTGCATACACGATAAACTATTGATATATTTCAGATGTGTGTCTGATGTTAAACATATCGACAAGTAAACGCAACTACTCATTCAGAATTTATACAAATTTTGTGCTACTGTCTGTTGACGAGAAGACATATACTTTATTAATGTCATTGAGAAAAATTAAGACGTGCATTTAAGAAAAAATTTTTAACCTAACTTCCCAGAAGGTAATTGTATTTCTTCCACAAGTAACTTCATTACCATTTTTTTATAATATTAGTAGNTAGTATTATTATTATTATTACAGATTATAGTATGTCAATAAATACGACACGTACGAGATAAAGATTCTATGTATAATATATAGAGAGCATTATTTATAAATTGACCTCGATGGATTCCACTGAATTTGAGTCTATTATAAGACATCCAAGGACTATAATTCACATAGATGTCGACTGCTTTTATGCCCAAGTGGAGATGCTGAGACATCCGGAATTGGAAGGCAAACCGTTAGGAGTGCAACAGAAGAACATAGTAGTGACGAGCAATTATTTGGCACGGGAATACGGAATTAAAAAATGTATGCCAGTACAGGAAGCTTTACGTTTGTGCCCAGGGCTGGCCCTGGTCAACGGCGAGGACTTAACCAATTACCGACAATTCTCTACCAAAATATTAGAAATATTACATCAGTTTACTCCCCTGGTCGAACGGTTGGGTTTCGACGATAACTTTATAGACGTAACGTCGATTGTACAGAAATATATGAATTCCGGAAATGAATCCGAAGTGAACATGAGCATTTCAATGGAAGACGAGACTCCGGTCGGCGAAGTGTTCGGTCAATCCGAAGAAGAATGTCCATGCGGTTGCCACGCGCGATTAATCACAGCGTCAAAGATCGCGGCAGAGATAAGGGAACGAGTTTATAAGGAATTGCGCGTAACGTGCAGTGCTGGAATAGCGCATAACAAGCTGTTGGCGAAATTAGTCGGGTCGTTACACAAACCGAATCAACAAACGCTGGTATTCCCGTGCAGCGCGCCCATGCTATTATCTGAAATAGGATCGGTATCTAAAATACCAGGAGTCGGACAAAAGACCACGCAGTTATTAGTGTCTAACAATATAAAAACGGTGGACGATTTACGGAAGACTCCTTTGGAAACATTGGAAGCAAAGATCGGCGTTGATCTGGCGAGAAAATTGAAAGACAACGCCGAAGGCATTGACGAAACCGTCGTGAAACCGACGGGGAAGAGGCAGTCTATCGGTTTAGAGGACGGGTTCAAGAGCGTTTCTCTGGTAGCCGAAGTAGAATCCAGACTGGGAGTGCTGTTAAGAAGGCTAACAGAATTAGCTATGGAAGATGGAAGAATTCCCGTTGCGATGAGATTGACGGTCAGAAAACATGACTTCAATAAACCGTCTACGGGTAAGAGGGAGACTCGGCAATGCGCTCTACCTAAACATCTGTTGCCTTCATCGAAATCCGCCGTTTACGATCACGCGAAAATGTTAGCACTGGCGATGAAACTGTTCCATCGTACCGTCGACGTTTCAAAACCATTCCACTTGACGCTATTAGGCGTCGCGTTCACGAAATTCGAAGAGAAGTCCTCTGGAAAGAACAGCATCACGTCTTTCCTGCGAAAACAAGTCGCCGTTCAGTCCGTCTTAGATATAAGCTCCGAGGAAGGTATTCCCGAGGCGAATCACGGGTCACCGATGAGCGTGAACCAAGACAGCAATGATGGTTCCGCTATGAGCACCACCTCCTCACCGATCTCCAAGTCAATAGGTGCCAGCAATCAGAGCGGCGACGACGATGTACTGAACGAGATAGAACCTCTCCCGAAGAAGACCCGGCTGGAAGTGTGGTTGAGCGGGCGCAGAGAATCGCCAAGCAATGAAATGGCCGATCTACGACTGAGTCCCTCGTCACCGATGCAGCTGTCGCCGAAGATCGACGCGGCGGTTCTCAAGTCTCTCCCCATTGACATACAAAGAGAAGTAACCCGCCCTTGGCCAACGACCAGTAAACCAAAACCGAATAATATACTTAAATACTTTATAGCCAATAAGTGACCGAGTTCTGTGGCCTAGACCTAGACCGTACTATAGCCATCGTTCTGTACACACAGCGATTACAATATTGGATGGCAGCACCATGTGATATTAAGAATTTAAGTTACTGAATGTTTTAAATTACCTTTGCGATATTTCGGTATTAAACTTCTTCTGTACACACACACACACACATACACACGCACACACATATTTCTTAGCATTTTATATTGAACGAGCGTCGACACGTAACTTTGGTCACATCGTTAAGCATAAAAAAGGTTGTTTGTTCGTTAATTGATCCCCGTTTTCCGTTGCGCGCTTAACTCTTTGCACTCCGAACCATCCCGGACGTTATCTACCAGCTAATCGGCGCCACTTTCTCGCAAAAATGCGCACTTACGATCCCTCATAATATATAATATAGCTTTGGAACCAAATAAGTTATTATAATGAAACGATTGGAAATTTCTAATTGTTATTACTAACTCACAAAATGATATTTACTAAAAGAATATCACTTCAGATTTTCTCACTTATTAGAGCAGAGATCTATCTGTAACGCTGGACGCTTCAATTCTAAATGAGTTCAGCTTTGAAAATCTTCTCCTCCAGTTTTGGACTTGATTATTTATATTTATAAATCTCAACATACAGTGCAAGATATGCTTGCATACCATCCTTTCTTCCACGAACTATCCTTATCGCTCTTTTCAAGTGGCGTTGACAAGCGCTTAGAACGTCGCGAGCGCACTTCTCACGTTCTCTTTCGACGTAAAACCAGCTAATATTTTTTTTAAATAACTTAGTAATCGTACCATATTTTGATTTGATTTCCTGTACCATTTCATTAGAAAACTTTAGATAACCATACATTTTTTCAAAGAATTGCGCTGGAATAAGTTGATTCCCCGGAATCACTAATAAATTTTAATGCCCCTCAAAGGGGACAGCGGAGTGCAAAAGGTTAATATATTTAAGATTAAATAAATAATATTTCGTGTCCATTGTATTTCTAATTCGTTTCATCATTTTTATTTTGGTATCTCGTCGGCGAAACAAGTTTATCTTTTAATTAAAGTTAAACGGGGTGCTGGCATTTGATTTTGTACACGTATTATGTATCTAGCGTTTAAATTATCATTGTATGCTTTAAACAGAGAAATAAGAAACGATGTTTATATATTTTTATCATTGTCGCTGTTATTCTACGTGTAACGAGTGTTGCGATAAACAAAAAAAAATACACGGTGCACAGAAAATACTCAATCGGCCTTACCATCCCAATTGGTAAGGAGCACGGTAAATCACATATAGTTTATAATATATTATAACGTAATTATATCCAGAATTATTGGACTGGACAATCATACAGTTTTATCGGTTCGGTATGGTACAAGGTGAATATCACCGTCAAATGAAATGAGGAAATCAATCAACGATCCATGTTATAAATATTAATATTGTTATAAATATTGAATACACACGCGGTTCAACGAATAGTATGCGTGGCAAGTGATACTGTAACAATAGCTTTTGTAAACGATTATACATACGAGGGTACGGATAATTTATAAACGTATATAGAAATATTCATAGCTATTGGATAACGAGAAAACGAAGGATTATTTATCAGCAAGCTTTTTTTTATTATTTGTTCACTCGTACGGGAGAAGCGGTATACAGTTCTAACTAAAGTACTCTTATTATTATAACTTCTGGTTGTGAGATACGTAAGTATGTATATGAATATTTTATACGCCACGAGGAATATGAGCGGTCCGTATAAGTACGCCCGTCGATGTTCCGATTAATTGAAATAAAGTGCGACACACAGCTGACACTGCTCGGATAATTGCGTTTGACAGTATTCGAAGAGTAAAAGATAACTTCTTTTTTATTTTGTACACAACGACGGTTCATATTTCCTCCCATTCATTTCAATAAAGGAAGTTCAAGTTGTACATATAATGTTTATTTTTAAATATCCTTATTCCATTCATCCAACATACTCTTCCCATAATCGTGTATGAATATTTTTCCAATATTTCGTGTCCATTGTATTTCTAATTCGTTTCATCATTTTTATTTTGGTATCTCGTCGGCGAAACAAGTTTATCTTTTAATTAAAGTTAAACGGGGTGCTGGCATTTGATTTTGTACACGTATTATGTATCTAGCGTTTAAATTATCATTGTATGCTTTAAACAGAGAAATAAGAAACGATGTTTATATATTTTTATCATTGTCGCTGTTATTCTACGTGTAACGAGTGTTGCGATAAACAAAAAAAAATACACGGTGCACAGAAAATACTCAATCGGCCTTACCATCCCAATTGGTAAGGAGCACGGTAAATCACATATAGTTTATAATATATTATAACGTAATTATATCCAGAATTATTGGACTGGACAATCATACAGTTTTATCGGTTCGGTATGGTACAAGGTGAATATCACCGTCAAATGAAATGAGGAAATCAATCAACGATCCATGTTATAAATATTAATATTGTTATAAATATTGAATACACACGCGGTTCAACGAATAGTATGCGTGGCAAGTGATACTGTAACAATAGCTTTTGTAAACGATTATACATACGAGGGTACGGATAATTTATAAACGTATATAGAAATATTCATAGCTATTGGATAACGAGAAAACGAAGGATTATTTATCAGCAAGCTTTTTTTTATTATTTGTTCACTCGTACGGGAGAAGCGGTATACAGTTCTAACTAAAGTACTCTTATTATTATAACTTCTGGTTGTGAGATACGTAAGTATGTATATGAATATTTTATACGCCACGAGGAATATGAGCGGTCCGTATAAGTACGCCCGTCGATGTTCCGATTAATTGAAATAAAGTGCGACACACAGCTGACACTGCTCGGATAATTGCGTTTGACAGTATTCGAAGAGTAAAAGATAACTTCTTTTTTATTTTGTACACAACGACGGTTCATATTTCCTCCCATTCATTTCAATAAAGGAAGTTCAAGTTGTACATATAATGTTTATTTTTAAATATCCTTATTCCATTCATCCAACATACTCTTCCCATAATCGTGTATGAATATTTTTCCATATCGTATAAAAAAGTAATAATTTTTTATACTCTATAATGACAAGAGCGATACGAATTTAATTCATGCGTTCGTGTACGACGAACAGAATTAGACCCTTGCCACTAGCATACAATTTGAATGAGGCCAATCACCCAGCCACCGCCGCTGAATGGAACATAATCAGGGTGAGTCATGTCATAATGGAATAAATTGTGCAGCTTTATGCCTTTTTAAATTGTCCTGCGCGATCTCTTGCTTAATAAAGACCCCTTGAGTCATTGATCAATGAAGATACGCGAATTGGTCGACTCAAATGAACGGCACAAACTGAAATTCTTTTGTGCAGCAACACGTTTTTTAATTCTTTCAATACCTCCAGATCATTTCTAACACCGCCGAATCATTTCAGTTCTTAAAAGAGTAAGGAGGCATGTTTTCTGGGGCAAACGAATACTAATTATGCTCTATTAGAAAATATATATGCAATTAAAGCGAACGACATTGAGACAAACTAGAGGAATGATAAAAATTATTGGTATAACGAATTGTGATTAGTTTTTAGTGGGCCACGGCCAGAAAAGCCTCATTGAGAGATAAACGTTCTTCGAACAGAGTTGGTAATTTACGATAGCTACGTAGTTTTCCTCTTATACCTCTTATTTTCTTAGGCATTATCAAAGCGCACGTGAGATACATCCAGACGAACCCCTTTTCGTAAATAATGTCTGACCTAAATTTAAATACCGGCCAGGTGTATTATCCCACGGTCATTAACAGTCATACTGTGCTGGTATAAATACGCATCGAATTGCTTCTTCTATGTCAAATTGCTCGTGTCCATTTCGCTCGTCGCAAGAAACTGAGTTAAAAATGTTGTTACTACTCTGCGTTTTCGCTGCTGCTGCGATACTTCAAGCGTCAGGTAAGTGAATTATTACATTATTATTGTATTGCGAGTACACTTGAATTATTTCACATAGCTGCGAGTATAAACGAAATTCCGAAAATCGTGGGAGGTACCGCAGCAGAGGACGGACAGTATCCCTATCAAGCTTCTCTTCGCTATAAGAACCGTCATTTCTGCGGAGGATCGGTGTTAAACGAAAGATGGATACTGACAGCTGCTCATTGCTTACAAAGGTTTGATAGTCATCAAATTTTCACCGCATAAAACATCTTCATTTCAATACTAATAGCCGAGGTCTGTGGTTCCAGTTTCAATGATTCAGGTATAACTGTAGTGTTAGGCACGAACACTTTGGACAAGAGTGGCGATATGTACCAGTCTGAGAAAGTAATTAGCCATCCGAAATACAGTTCCGCATTGATCAGAAACGATATTGGTTTGATCAAGCTGGATAAGGACATCGTCTTTGGAGACAAGGTGCAGCCCATCGGGCTGCCTAACGAGAACTTCAGCAAAGTGGACTATCCTGCTGTGTTATCGGGTTGGGGAACGACCAGCGTGAGCATCTCCCAACACTCGCAATTCATCTCGATGATTAATTAATCTGTCCGTTTTTCTTTTTCTTTCACGTGAATTGCAATCGCTTGTTAATCGTATGAAAAATGATGAAAGTATCCGGGACAAACGCCGAACGAGCTGAATCACATCCAGCTGAGCGTGATCGATCAAAAACAATGTTTAAACGCCAGCTATCGCATTACCAACGACAATATCTGCACGCTTAACAAGAGGGGTGAAGGCGCTTGTCACGTAAGTGCAGTCTCTATCACGTCTAGTCGAGTGCCCGCCCGTGTATTCGAGAAGTGGGCCCTTTCAAGGCTTAAAGGATCCATCGACGAAAGCGGCGCCTTCTTCTTTTTGCTTATTTTTTATGTTGCGAAACCGGTGTCGACGAGAGCATAACAGCGAGCACCATTCAGCTCCACTCACCTAGTTCGGAAAGAATCGCACTAACGATAAGCACGCGAGATTCGAACCCCTGTATTAGCTTTCCTCAATCGTCGAATAATCAATTGATCGACCGATATCGCAAATGCTTCAATTATTACTAGGAACGCTTTACGTTAATTGATTTCCTTTCGATAGGGCGACTCTGGTGGTCCTCTGGTTGCCGACAACGCGCAGATCGGCATCGTTTCCTGGGGAATACCGTGCGCGAGAGGTCGGCCGGACGTCTTCACTCGCGTCTACAGTTATATCGATTGGATCAAAGATCACATAGAAAATAAGAGATGAAGTAACGGTTGATTTCCTATCTGGACTGCGATCAAACGAATCTCACTGATTATGTATACCTTTGACTGTATAAATAAATGACTATTTCATTAATTAAACTAGACGTTGATCAATTGTTCTTCACCTACGTCAGAATTGTATTAGAATCGTAGTCTAAACGAACGTGCCCGGAGTTAATAACTGAACAAATTGCTTTTCCATATTTACAAAACATTCGCAGTTCACGGAATTTTTCATTTTATTTCTGCATCTGAAATTCAGATGCAAACTACGCTGTGGTTCTGTATATGTATATGGCATCTACGTCCATTTTCAAATTTCACGTGTGCAAAAGCAATTTATGCGAATTATCTGCGATCCGCGACACATCCTACGCTTATGCAAATACCGTTTGAGGTGACACTAATTTTACGTCTCCCATGAACGAATTAATGTCATGCGTGTCTAACGCGTGGAATTAGGTAGGAAAAAATATGATCCGTGGTAAACACAGTTAAAACGAAACTGTCCAGTAATTAGAAGTTATATTAACTTATTTCCGTCGTATACCTGGAGACTGTAGAAGCAAGGAAGGGTACGCATATCCTTGATAGAGAGATTGGAAAAAGTATTCAGTCTTGATTTCGGTCAAGTGTCGAATGACCTGAATCCAGTAGCGCATGCCTGTATTATGTGTGCATCGAAAATCATTCCAGGAGCAACAAGGATGCTGCACTCGGCAGTATACATGTCCTTGTAACATAACTTGTCTACGTAAACCTTAAACGCCCAGAAAATTATAAATTTCGAATTATAAAGTTCTAATTTTAATGGAATATCGAGTATTTAAAGGATAAACGAATACGATAATTCACGAATATTTTCTGCGATTGAACGAAAATCCTAATTGGGCAGGATATGGATATAGGAATAAAGAAAACACATATAGCTTGGTTGACGTTACGTGTGACCTAGATCACGATGCGCAGACGCTGTCAGGCAAGGACAGTTTCGAGGGTGTGTTTTCATCCCCCGTTTCTCGTGTTCTCGCGGACTTCTCGGGGTGTTCGCGTCGAGAAAACGGGAATTGTGTCTAGAAAGAGGAGAGACATGGTGGTCGTGCCACCTGCTGCAGCTTAGCGTCGTTCTGAAATCGATATCGCCATCCTTCTCCCACGTCTTTCGGAACAATGTCATCCTAGTAGCTCGCTGCACCAGAGAAATACGAGCGGTGATGGAAACTGAACACGGGGGATTGCGTTAAAGAGTGGCGCGTTCATGCGAGAACATCGTTCTCGTTGTTTTCGTCGTAACACGATAAGCATCGCGAGTGCTAAAGCGTGTTGAAAGATAAAATTCGTACGGAACAATGCGACCGCGGTTGAAATATTCAAATCTACGAGGGTTAACGCACTGATAAACGTGTATCACCGTGCGAGCGATACGACACTAATACGGTTTCGGTTCGTGACATGTATCGGGGTTGCACTTTCGGACAGTGCCATTGTTTACGTACGCGACGTGCGACAACAACGATTATCCAATAACAATTCGTCGACGCGCCTCGCGTATTGTCGATTTCAAATAGTACTCATCTTCTTTTCCTACGTTCCAAAAAGCCTGTTTGTGATAAGAAGTCGAGAGCTCGATATTCGAAAGTAAACGCAGTGGTACTCGAAGACGTCCTAGCTGTGGTCAAATCGCTGTATCATGGTGCTTCGTTAGCGTGCGTATCACGGCTCTGTGAGATCCTTGGGACGCCGCCATAAATAATATACATACCGCGCCGATACATCGCTTGTATAAAAATAAGTTATCGTCTGAATTTATCAAAGGAAGCTTCATGAGCTGCTGTCCATTCATGTAAGTACATACGACGAACTTTTTTTAAACTTATACGATGGAATGAAATTCTGATTTCTGTCCGCGTAATGTAAATTCAACCGTATCGAGGTTCCTAATCTTATACGTGACTGGAAACTTGAAAAAGTAGATTCGAAACAAGTGGACGTGTGGAATAATAATGCAAGTTCAGAAGATATCTAGAAAGAATATGCAGGACTTCCTTACTTTTCTTCTAACACCGCTTCGGAGTTATTTAATTGAAGGGGCTACTCGAAACACGAGTGCACTTCTGTTATATTGTCCCTGGCTAATTTCGAGCGGTGTGTATTGTTCTTTGACTCCTCGATTCGTGAGATGAACGTAACGCCACGCATATAGGTAGAGTTTATGAAAACATGAAATTCGTGACTATAGAAAACGCACAGCTGTCCGAGGGGCTGGCCGCGGCAAGTGCATATAATACACATAAGCAAGCGAAGCGTATACTCGCACACATAAAGGCGCTACACCTTTTAACAGACGACTGCGCAGTAGACAATCCCGATTCGCTGTGTGCGTGGCTTTTATACTTGGCACCAGCATACCAAGCATTTCTCCGTCTTTGTACCACCGTTGCTCGGCGTCTCCTAACCCTCTGGAGCAGACACGTGTATCTCTCTTTCTTTAAATCGTCCCTTTCTCCTATGCTCCTCCTTTCTCGCTCTCCCGGTAAACGCCAATACTCAGGGACGTATTTATTTTGCGGGCAATCTTTCAACGCGTTCTTGTCAAATTAGGATATCAACAAATGAAGTATGCGGAACTTCTTAGGCTAAATACATACGTTCAACTCAGTTTGCTATTCATGCGATATTGTCCTACTTAGAAGTGCGCTTATCTAATCGCTCGTTTTAATAATGAATCGTTGTTTATTTCAAACGAAGCTTGTAAACGTTTCACGACATTATTGCTATCAAGCAGTCCATTAAAAGATCATTATCTAATTTTCTGAGGAAGACGAAGGTAAGAGATCTCGGCGGATCGTAGCTGCAGGCACCCGCATAGAGTTATCTATAAATTCGTCCCTGGTAGTGGTGCCGGCTGTGGATCCACTGGATCGTGGATGTTGTCGAGAACGTGCGCAGCTGTAAAACGTGAGTCGCTGCGCTCCGCAGCTGATGCGATCGTCTTCGCTCCTGTGTCCGTATTTGTTTTGGAAAAATGCGACGACAGAGAAACAACGAATTTCGATCTCGTTATTGCTACCGTCCGGAGGCGATTCGAATGACACACAAGTGATAGTGACTTACAGTAGATATGCATATCTGCCTAGGCCAAACAACGATGTTCGGGGTCCGTAAACATTCGAAAAAATTGAAGTAGTGACGAGCTTAGAGGAGTTAGATAAGAATCGGTCGTGTCCGATCGTGATAACGCGTCAAAAATTGTGTTTACCAGCCTCTTCGGGGTAGAACGATCCGCCGTAGCAACAGGGGACAATAGGTATATTCGGAAGGAAGATAGACAAAGAGTTCCCATCGGCATATGCTTTGCACATATATACGTCGGTGGCCTGTGACGAGGATCACAAAAAAGATGCGTCGCGTTCGTTATCAACAACGTTTTGCGCGAACGTGCATGTCATTTGCAATTTAGAACGCGTCAAACAATTTTCCTTAAGAATCGTCCACGTAGATATAGTTTCATTTTTACTTACGAACCGCTGTGAATCCCTTTACTGGATTAAATTAACTTTATGAGCGTTCAATGAACTTGTCATTCGCACTCCGTGCTGCCCGTCCACTTCGTTTGTTAATGAAAAGTTGTGTGCAAGCGAAAAGCGTGCACGGCCGCAAACAACCCGCTGAAACGCGTGCAATGTAACGGATGTGTACATTTTTGAAAGCGACGACAGGGCTAACTCCATTATGGAGGCACTGCGTTTAGCTATACAGTGAGTTTATTATTCAACAAATAGTTATTTATAAATAACACGCCTCGATATGGTCGATATTTGGGAACGCCTAGCTGTTTCGCATTGCCAAAAACCTCTGCTTGCGAATGTCAAAATACTTGTAACTGTTAACAATTATTTTACGACACTGTGTATGAATTCGTACGAATTTGTAAGAGAAATAAAACACCTCGTTATAACAATTGAATTCAAATGATTCTTCTCTTCTATATTTTCTGACTTGCCTGTTCTCTTAAAGCTGTTATGCACAACATAAAAAATTATTGGTAAATTAATATGTATTAATTTGTCTTTAACAATACTGTTACTTTAATATTAGAATATTGGAGTTCTACCTGAGACTTCTTGACAGAGTGCAAAATAAATTGTTTTACCTCTTCTAGGACTCGGCTAGGGGAGAGGATGGTTAGCATGAGCTCTATGCTCGTGGAGACAGTCAGTATAAACTATGAGGATTTTAACGAGAGTTTTTTAACGTGCGGCACGTGTCTTTGCGTTTACGACGGCGGAGAGCACACCCCTAAATTGTTACCATGTTCACATACGGCAAGTACATGAATTGTTCGTCTTTGTTCAACGTTACTTATTTGTTCATTCGCATGTGCAGGTATGTCTGCACTGTCTAACAAGAATTGCCGCGTCTCAGACTCGCGAGACTGGTGCCTTTCGATGTCCCATTTGCAGAGAGTTAATAACAATTCCTCGCGGTGGAGTTCCTGCCTTACCACCTAGTTTCCTCGTGAATCAACTGCTCGATCTTATGTCCAGACAAAGACGAGAGGTGCGAAACGAAAGATTCACGTTTACTGAATTAATTCATCGCGTTATACAATATTATTTTTGATTACAGGTCATTCCGAAATGTTCAGTTCACATAAATCAAGAGTTGCTATTTTGTGAGACATGCGACACAGTATTTTGTACAGTATGCACCGGTGGTAATCATGCAGGAACGTCGCCAGGTTGTACCGAACACACCATCATACCGTTTAGTATAGCGATAAAAAGGATGTCAGAGATTTTACTCTACAAAGCTAATGAATGCATATCTAAGGTGACATTCTGATCTCACCGTTTTTTACATTTATTCGATCTTCGTCATATTTAAAATTAAAATCCTTTCAGTTGACCCAAGCCCAAGACTCTGTGACTACGGAGTTACAGCGTTTGGAAGCTTCCACAGAAAGATGTCTGAGCGCTGTGGATAATGAATTTGCAGATATCATTGCGAAGATAGAAAGGAGACGGACGGAACTGCAAGAGGCCGTTGCGGCTGCCGCGAGAGATAAGAAACACGTGTTAGAGGAGCAACACGCTCTTATAGAAGCTGAGAAGAATAAAGTACAACAAGAGTGCGAAGGTTTACAATATCAGGTATGATTTACTTGATTTACGCGTCCTATATGTACTCGTTACAGAAGAATGTATGTAATCTTTATCGCAGGTCGAAGTACGAAACATCACACAAAGAATCGGTAGTTTATCCGATCAACTCGACGCGGCATCGGCACTTAGCGAACCTAAAGAAAACGCCTTTATTACATTCGAATTTAATCATAATAATGCTCTTTCTCAGTTAGAGGAAGCACTTAATAACTTAGGAAGAGTACGTTCTAGTACAACATTGCCAGGTACCCTGAGGATTGATAATACAGTAAAGTACCTGCTTCAAACGTTATTGCTTTATACGGTTCAAATACCAAGTGTAAGAAGATAGGGCATTGTTTGTTGTAACGATACGTAATTTGCGATAGGTCTGTGCAGAGCCCGGTTGAAGGACCCTGCCATAGTTCGACTACAGGCTTCTGTGATAGTAGAGACTGTCGACTATCACGGGCACCCTAGAAACGTTGGAGGCGATCTTATTACCGCAGAACTAACTTTAGCAGATAGCATTCACCCCGAGAACCAAAGTTCTAACATCGAAGCTGAAGTAATTGATCTGGAGAACGGTACATACGAAGTACTGTTTCGACCACCATCCGCGAGTCGCTATGTTCTAAAGATATCAGTCTTCGAGAGGCCTATCAAAGATTATCCTTTATTCTTCGACGCGACCGAACATAACGAACCGGTAAAAATATATGGGAAACAAGGCCACGGGAAGGATGAGTTCCATCAACCGGTGGCAGTCGCCATTGATGATGACAGCATGATTTATATTTTGGATACTGGGAACTCGCGGATAAAAGTATGTATCGAATTATAAACTGTGTCAAGATGATGGATCATCGAATATTTAAGCTCTGTTGTAGATGAACGTTATTCTTTCAGGTGCTCAACTGTGATCTGGAGTTTCAAAGGCACATAACTAACGAGGGTCTCGACGGTCGCAGTTGTACAGGTATCAGTGTCTCGCAACAAGGTCTCGTCGTCGTCAATTGGAGAACGCGAAAAGTTACGGAACTAAGTACTCTGGGCGATACTATTAAATCTTTCTCCCACAATGCGTTCAAAGTTAGTATTACTTGTATAGAGACTCGAGATTCTTTTTTGTACATAAACAACTACATATTTGGAATTTCGCTCTTCAGGCACCGATCGATGTCTCGGTGGATCGGAGTTATGGTCACATACTTGTCGCAGATAATGGTCAGAGTTGCGTTTTCGTATTCGATTCCGATGGTAAAATTCTCTTCCAGGTCAGTTAATAGTTATTTTTCATTCGGAATTAATCACTGTATTTTTAAATATTAATTATTATCAGGTGGGAACGTTCAAACAAATTACTTCCGTGACCGTCGGACCCAACGGTGAAATCATAGTCGCTGATAGTCGCATTCAAGTATTTTCTGCTAAAGGAGATTTTTCCGAAGAAATTTATGCCGAAGGCAAAGGTAAGGTTCGAAGTTCTTCCAATCGTTCCTTAATCGGTGAACGCGTGGCACATAATTAACTGTTTCAGGGAAAGGTACTTACGGAGGTTTGGCCGTTGATTCGGAGGGCAGGATACTTGGTAGTCGTACCGAGAAAGGTCGCAGCATAATCCAAGTTCTGAAATTAGGAGGAGGTAATATATTAACTGAGATCGATTCGTATAGTTCGAAACTACGACGTCCTTCACGTATCGCAGTATTACCTGACAATCACTTAGTAGTTGTAGACTTGGGAAATGATTGTATAAAAAAATATAGATACTGGTAAAACTAACTGAGTTTCGAATATCAAATTTCTCGTATATCCAAGTGAAATGATTCACGTATATAGATAGACGTATACCAAATATGTATTTAATGATACATAACTTAAATTATTTGTTTTATCTAAACAACATTTCACAAGCCTTTCATTCATTCTCTCTCTTTGAAGTTGCGCAAACTTGTCGTTAAATCAAAATTATTTTTTTTGTTATCTATGTTACGAACTGCGACGCGACGTAGCTCGTTTTCCTAATATAAAACAGACTCGACTAGCATATCGTGATGTGTACTGTTTCGTGTCATTACATTTGTTTATTAATTTTTTTTTACTGAAACCGATAGATGTGATCGTTTATCTTTTTTTATTTCTTAGTGCTTAACGGACGTTTAAATATACAGTAATCACGTATTTTACACTGCCATAGTCTGATATTTTTAATCATAAAAGTCCTCACAGTTCATAGAAGCGTACATACGTGTATAAATGTAACGATAGATAGATTCTTACAATTCATATACAAATAAGAAATTCTATTTATGATAAAATAATTTAAACGCTGAATGATAAAGTTCCGCTTGTTTGCAAGACCTAATAACTAGGCTACTAGAACTTCTTAAAACAGAATCTCCCACGTATTTAACTTTGTTTCGTATAATTTATGGCATTATAAACATTGCTTCGAATTTTTACCTATTAGGGAAGAGGTTGAACGATAGAACAGAGAGATTGTAGAAGGGATACCGAAGCTTAAAACTTATTATTATTTCAGTATTTCTATTCTTTACTAATAAGTTTAAGACTGTCCGAGTCAGTAAAAGATTGACTACAATTACTTAATCACTCCGAGGCAGCGGGTTTAGTAATTAGCGTCAAGTTAAATGAAAAGTAATAAATGTAAGGAATTAGAATATAACGTCGATGTTGTGTTCAATCGTTTTTAGTGATCGAAAAACAAACTGTTGTCGTTGTACCACACAAATATTTTCGCGCTTGTCAATTTTTTTATTATTATATTATTGTGCTTTTTACAGTATTCCATAATTAATATGTATTTCGTTAAGATCAAGTATTCACAATTAGCGCAGAGTGTACCAGATATTCGTTCTCGTTTGTTTTTTATCATTTCACGATTAAACGGGATAATACGATTAAACTGTGACTACTTAACAGGAAAAGCGATTTCCCAGCAAACGATAAGGAAACTATGATGATTTGAAAAGAATTATTTTTGGAACCGATGTACAGCATTCCTTGTAAACTAACTATTATACTTTGCGGAATGATTTAACGTTACTTACAAACATCTTAATCGTAAGCGTGTCGTTAACATTTTTCGTAAAAAGCATGGCAGTGCCTTTATTAAACAAATTTCCATGCGAACAACGCACGTATAATATAAATATTTTTAATGTTTATTTTAATTAAGCTGAAAACATATGACGAGTGACTTAACGCCTAACGTTTAATTACAGTGAGTTTAATCCAATGTGCTTATATGTAGTACCGAGTTAATCATTTTGTGCCTTTTTCTTTCAAGTTATCTACACATTATTATTTAATATCAACGATTTACGTAAAATCAGCCTGCAAGCTTCGCTTTCATTTTCAATTGAAAAAGCCCGGACACGTATACTTTTCATTTTATGCATTTATTAACGTATTAATTAAAAGTTTTCGACTGATGTCTCAACGTGTTTCGATTCTGATATTATTTAATCTAGTCATATGTTATCAATATTAGTAACATTTTGAAAAATGTAATAATACACAACGTAATGTACAATATATTGTAAATAAATATACGAGCTTATATACATGATTCAATAAAAACATTCTTTATCCCAGATTGTTAAAAATCGAAAAGATAATTTCGTGTATCGTTTACTCACGTTCTTCGTGCAGATATATTAAATGCATATCGTAAGCGGTGTTTCACGTATAAATCTGATAAAGAACGGGAATAGCATCGGATAATTTCGTTTATATACGAATAACGTTATAAAACCGATCGAAACAACGATTTTTATGTATCGTTCATAAAAACTGGGTAGCGTCCATTACGAGGGAATAAAGTTGGCGGGTAATACAGCCATCGCGGTTCGATAGTAGTAAATTTGAGCGATTGCTCGAGATTTCTCTCGGCGCGGCGCGCGAGCGAGAGTATCGTATCGAATGAACGTAGCGTGCACTGTGCACGCGCCGTTGAAAAACGTAAGCTGGGGTATGGGTATGGGGGTATACTACGCTACGCCTGTGCTAGTACGTGCCCTCGTACACGAAAACTTATTCACACACGTTATTCAAGCGGCTTGTGCTCCTCCATTACGTACATAACGTGGAAACGTAAGACGCTACATACTGGACTTCTGTACGTGTGTCGTGTGCAGGTGTGTACATAAGCCAGAGAGTCGTGCACGTCGTACGCGTACATCGTAGATCAAAACATCCCTCCGATCCAGAGCCGATCAAAGCGATTTCGGAACGATTGGCGTGGCCCACGTCGAGGATCGTCGGCCGAGGTTCCTGAGAGAAAAGCGAGCATCGAGGAGGCGGAATATTCTTCACGGAACGTCGAAGGAATCGGGAAAGTACTCGATCGAGTGGCAGTGGCAGTGCACAAGCGCGAGGAGACCAGAGAGAGTCGGATAAGGTAAGAGTGAGAGGGTGATAGGACGCTAGGTACGGTGCTACGGTGTTAGTGAATGGAACGCGGCCCCCACGGGTGAGCGTAGTACGGGCCATCGTTGCACCAATGACCATCCGGGACGGACGATCACGTGACGTGCGTGCCGAGGCAGCAGCAGCAGCAGCAGCAGAACATTGCAAATGACAAGACGCGTAGGGCATTGTCGTCGCGCCTCCGCTACCACCGTACCCGTCGTCGAACTCGTTGGTGAATTTGCCGTGCCACCGTTATTGCCGTTGTCCTCTTCGTCACCGCCGCTGCCGCCGCCGTCGTCGATGAGATCTCGTCCGCCGCCAGGAACGCGAGCGTCCTAGAAAACGATCACGAAAATCTGTGTGTCCTGTCGGCACCGCTACCTCCACCACCACCACTACTACCACCACCATCTTCGTCACTACGATCACTACCACCACCACCACCACCACCACCGCTGCCGCTGCCGTCGCCGCGTGTGTGCGACTTTGTCGCGGGTGCCTCGGAGGAGGCCCTCGTGCCCTGAAACGGTGCCCGCGGCGGCGCCCCGTCTTCGACAGTGAATAACAACAGTGTACGGAACGACGCAGCGGGGGTATCGAGGGCCCGAGTGCCACCCGCGCCTATATGACAAAATGTCGGGTTCGCAGAGAATGCGAAAATCCTCGCCATGCTCGACGTCGAAGCAAGGCCCGATGCGTGCGACTCTGCCCGTCAGCTCGCTGTTAAGGCAAGGCCGGCAGGGTAGCAGCCTTAGGAAGAGCAACAGCAACAGCCCGACGGTATCGCCGACGAACGCGAGCGCGTGGCGGGCGCGCATCTCGCCGGAGACCTCTTCCTCGGGGCAACGAAGCCCTGGTTCCCTCTCTTACAAAGGTACGTACGTACGTACCCATGCTACATACAACGTATTTACGCTCACTGCTCTCTCTCTCGCTCTCTCCCTGCCTGTCTCTCTCTCTCATACTCCCCTTCTTTCTCTCTCCCTCTTTACGTGATCGCGTACACTTACTCTTACTATATCGTGTACACTGTTATCTTTCGCTACACTTCTTTGTTACGTCTGTCACTTTACCTTTTCCCACACACACACACCCCTTTTTGCTCCTTAGAAATCCTCGATTACGTATTAGGTCCTACCTTGTCTCTTCTTGTTTGTACTTTGAGTTTTCTTATTTCGTTACCAATTATAGCTGGTTGTGAAAATTTTCGCGTCGTACAGATCAAACGGTACCTAACAGATATCTCTCTGACAGGTATTAAATCATCTCAAATAGTTGTAGTTGTGATAGGTTCGAAACATTAACTGACAAAGATGTTATGTGTATGTCAATTTGTATCTGTTTCTGAACGTTGTACGTTGTAAATTCGTTAATATAATTAAGCACGTAATGAAATACTTGTCAATTTAAATGATGCATTTATCATTATGTTAATGAGTGTATTAGTGGATTAAGCAATGATCAATGTTTTGTCTATGTCCTCCACTAACTTATATTGCATCGTCGTTAATGTATATTTGATTTTAAATTCTCCCTTGCATAATTGCTCAAATTGATAATCGGTAACCGAATAGATAGTCTTAGATCGGTTCCACAATAAAATCTTGTCACCTATTAATTTAATTATGGGTTCTCACTTCTACTTTCGTTCGTTTTATCCAGTAACCGAATACATATTCTACATAGTCCGGTTCTGGCTCACGTTTACACTACACACGTCCTTTTAATTCGTTGCCAATGCACAGGCAATTTTATACAATGTTCATTTGGACTTTTTGTTACAAACAGCAAAATCAAAAACATTAAGCGGAAGATGCAGTGAAAGTTTAAGCGGAAACCAAAATATTCGGAGGACAGCGTCGTTAGACACGATCTATCTGAAAGGACAATGGCCTCGTGATTCGCATTACATTCATTCCCTTCTCTTGGTTGATAAATCTACACAGGTATGATTAAACGGACGTTCTATACATGATTGTTTAGTTCCTACGATAACGTCGTTCTCCATCGTCCTATTTGTAAATCTATAAAACTGTTTTATTGTAGACGGAAGAATGGTCTAACGAGCCGAGAAAATTGCACACCCGTCATCCTACAGAGCAAACCACTACCGATGAAAAATTGGAAAAATATTTCAGGCATCGGTACGTATGCGTCATTGCAACTAATTTATTTTTTAAAAGAAATACTGCTGTGATATTAGAAGGTTTAATACAGGTTGCAGCGTTCAAACAAAGAAGGTACCAGCAGTAGAGAGCGGACAGCAGCATTTGGTTTGAATCTAATGCCAGGTGGACCACCTCCAGCCTTTCCCGCAGATCACACCGTTTTACCCAGTATTGCCTCACAAACGTCTATACGTAAGTCGATTTACGAACGACTGTTCATCCCTATAACGAATCTTTTTTTATCATACGTCAATTTTGTTATCACGATTACAGACAATCAATTCAGTTTGGGTACAAAGGCGAGTCCAATGAATATTCCCGTGAAACCGATGAGGCCTCCGATGCGTTCTTCTATTGAAGGACTGAATCAAGAGATTGAAGGATTGGTTCTGAAATCCACGACGAATCCTAGCGATCCTGATCATCCAGTAGAAGACAGAGTATGTAGAGCGTTGATTGATCATCTTTAGACTTGAGTACAAAACGATTTTCGTTTAAACAAACGTTTAACTGTCTGATTGCAGTATCCGCGGTATCGCGAACAAATTACACCAGAAGGACATCGTGCACCATTAGCAGACCTACTGAGGGCAACTCGCAGCGTAAACACTCAGACACCAGCTACCGACCTTCCCTCCAGTTCTTATTCTTCAGGTGAGTTTTACTTTCGCCACGACATTGTTTGATAATTAGACGTACGAAGCAGATGTTATTGTCTTTAAAGGATATACAGAAATGTTAAATAAATTTCCATTCTCGTTGCAATATTGTATATTCGTGTACTATTTCTCGTTACTGGTAACACTATAAATAACAGACTAACTATGGTGTGTGCCTGTTGAGACAGGCCCTCCATCTAGGAACTCTGAGTCTCCGCTGATTCCTGGTCTTATGGATGCCTCCCGTCCGCCTAGCGATCTCTTACAAGGTTGGCACATATTTCCGGAAACGCTCTTTTTCATTTCCTTCATGGTATCCCTTTCAATTCAACGCATTCATCTTTGTTATTCTTTTTATTTGTTTTTTTTGCAATATCCTTGGCCATAGATAATGGAATGTTATATGTTTATCTGTACTGCGTTTATGAACATTTCACGTTGGAAATACATATGTGCATGCATTTTTTTTTTATTATAGATATTCTATAGCAAATTGGTCTCCAAGTATGATACAATTGAAAAAGGAGCGTGATTTGTTTTCGTAAAATAATCGAATGTACACGAATAAAAGTTGCATGCATTTTTAAATTATTATCAAACAGGAAAAAATAGTATAGTACATACTTTCAAGTCTATCATTATTAAAAATGGATTGGAAGCTGTCGCCCATGTATTTATTTGTCGATCGATAAATTGATTCATACATACGTACATTACATTAAATAGTTCAGGTCGTTGAGAGCATGAGCTTTCCATTTGACGTAACTAATTCTCGCGCGCAGCGATTACTTCATCGTCACGAATCTCGATGTTCGAATTTATCTTAAAGGTGGAAGTCGCGGTTCGACCCCTGAACAAGATAGAGAAGGACGTCTCGGCACCTCTCCTCACATTAACAGGTTCCTTGCGAGAGAACCGCCCGATGGCTGTGAGAAAGTCAATCTTAAATTCGTAGAGGATGCCAGGTAATTATCAAACATTATTATAGTGAATGCATGAATTTCGTTCAGATCTAATTAGAAAAGGAGTAGAGTCAAACTCGATTCGACGGTGTTAAACATAACGTGAAATGTTATTGAAAGAATCGCGTTTGTTTGTATGTTTGTACAGGCGACCCATGATAGACTTGAGCAAACTAGACTATTGCTCGAAGCCGTGTGTAGCATTCCAGTTAAAACCTAGCTTGGGATCAGCGTTCCTGCCATTACAACAGCCAGCCAGTCCAGCGATGGTTGCCAGCGCGTCACCCTCTTCGCATACGACACCAACCACACCTCCTCCAAATCCATAGTCCTGCTCTTTCATCTCACGGAACGGAACGTTCACGAACACACCCGATTGGTACATATATACATATATATATATATATTTTTTTTTAACGACCTCGATGGGTAGAAAGTGGTTTACTTTGATATGAAAAGCGTATACAAAGAAAAGTTACCGAGACGAAAAAAAAGGCAAAATGCAACCTGTTTCTCCAGTGCGGCGGTCCGGGCGTTCGCACACCGTGGACGTGTAACTAAAAAAATGGTAGTTACGATTGCATTGATACGAACGCGACATACGAAAAATATTGAAAGCATCCGAGCTCCGATAAACGTTTCAAACAATAAACGAATACGAGGAACAATAATTTGTGATAACTAAAGGAAAGAAGTTGACGACATTTAGGAATGAACGTTGTGTTCTACAGGGAGAAAGACTAATAAAATTGTGTATTCTAAATTTAGTGCTAAAACGTGCTAAACGACTTTAGTTTTGTATACAGGGATAAATATTCAGAAACGTCGCAGAGTATTAAATTTGATTGTTGGCAAAAGGGCAAAATTATAACTACATAATTGGGTACGTGTGCCTGGTACATCGGTACCCCCATCGGTGCACCTATTATCATGTTTTTTCGTTTGAAATTTATTACTCGAATGATTCGATTGCATAAAGAAGGAACACTAGAATCTTTTCTACCGTTTTGTATTATTCTACGCTGAGACTATTACGGGAGGAGCTCGAAAATAGTGTATCCCTATGGTACATTATTTCTTTTAAGAGTTACGTTCTCTTAGAATTACGTATATGCATACATTCTTTACTATTTTCTTTTTGTCTCTCCTCGTTTTTTAAGCTCGCGTATGTAAGATAAAGGAGTGAATCGTTTCACGATAGTATATTTTGTATTAGGTGTACGAACGTGCACTCTCGCGTAGCTTCTCATTTTTATAGCAATTCCCCTTAGGCGATAAGAAACACTTCGTTCAATTATACTATAGTGTTCAGTGTCATACGTCAACTTATGAAACTTAAGTTAATATCGCAACACGTATACTTTGCTATTTGATAATCCCATTACCATAGGGCTACAACATTTTTCTGTTTTATTTGCGTCTCATTAGTTCTCTATTATTACTATTATCTGAATATGTACAACCGATACAGCATGCGATAACAGGTTGAGACGGATGTATGATAGGAATGAAGGAGGAAGTGTAATAAGTAACGTGAAAAACTAATGGCGAGCGAAGGCTAGAATTGAAACATTGATCGAAGTTAATAAACGACGAAATGTTGTGCTGTGGCCGATGTAGTGTCAGAAGTTCGTACGAGAATGGCTGGACAACTTGGCACGGTACGGGTGTGCGTGTAGGGTTTCGTATAAGTGCGGGTCGTAATTTAAAACAAGAAGTAGTAATTTACGATCCATGATCTGTACAAACGAACCGCGTATGCGTGTGTTGTAATATCAGAATCCTGATTAAGCCATCCACGAATAACATTGAATACTATTATCGTACTACCCGTATATTGTATAAAATACTTGACAAGTATTTGGGATACTACGAAAGTTTCGTTAGTTGAATTTACGCTAATCCTCATTTGTTTCTTTCTTTGTCATTCGTTTTCTTATGTTAAATGGTTTTACAATAATCAAAGCAATATCAAATTAATACTCTCGCAAAAAAATAAATACCTTTGTATAAACAAACTACTCACTCTATATATAAAAANTGGGTTAATTTATTGTTTAGTAATACGCAGATATAGCCACTCAAGAAGTTCAATTTATTTTTTGCTTTTTAATACTTACACAGAAACGTGTTTTTGCAAACGATTTTATAGTTAACAGTCTGAGGAATAAGGAATCTTCAAATGAAAATAACAAGATCGAGAGAGTAGGGAAGAACAGTTTTTTAAAAAAAAATACAACAGTACTATACTTTCTAATATTATAATATCTAGCTACGACAGTGGAGACGAAGGGGAAAAAGAAGAGAAATGTTAACACATAAAGTACCTGGCACACTGGTCTATGCTCTCTTTTATCCAGCTCACTAGAAGTTCATGCCTTAGAATTGCGTGCGGCAAAGTGTGCTAAATAGACAGGAAGGTTAACGAGAGAGAGTCAGGATATTAATAAGAAAAGAAAAAGAAAGAAAAAAAGAAAATGCACTGGCTAGTTAAACGAGTATACAATACAAACGAAGGACTAATCCGCTGATCCACTTAGCTTAAGAGGGATATCCGTTTCATTTATTTTCGCCGCGGACCTAAAAACGACTCTTATCACCCTCCCCCCGTTTCGCTGTAAGGATACCGTGAATTTTTGTGAACTCTGAATAAGAACAGGAAAACTGGATAAAAATAAATTTTATCTCTCGTCTGTCGTTGACATACATGCATACGTATTTTCACTTAAAACGGAGGAGAGAAACGGAAAAATGTTTTAACTTAAATAGGAAGAACACATTGTATTAATCATAGTGAATAAAAAGGTTTCGTACTTTTACTAAATAAGAAGAGGATGATAAAATTACTTTAGAGAAGAAGAGCTAGCCTTATTATTTTTCGACTACACACTCGCGAGGCTACACTTTTTAATCTTCGTGTACTTGCATAATGTGTTGGCATTATCGTTAGCTTTTGTTGTCGGTTTCGTACATGAAAATGATGAAGAAGAAGAGAAGAGGAATGCGTGTGTAAAGACTGCTAAACTAAAGATTACTTGTTATTTGGATAAAATGATACCTAAATTTAAAGTTAAAAATTAGGCTCAAATTTCTCCGGTTACCTGTGTAAAACAATATAGGTACTCTTTTAATTCGTTAACTTAAAGACAAAGAAGAAAAAAGAACGAAAAGACAAAACCCTTAAGTGACTACTGTTCGGTACATTCTCTTTACATATCTAAAAATCTGAGCAGGCTTCAGAATGGCAAAATGATTATGTCAATTATGAATTTATTTATCCCTAGGACTGTCCAGACAAGAAAAAAAAGAAACAATCTCGCAACTCGTAAGATGCAACAAAGTTTTATACATTTCGTACGGATTGAACGGATTTTTAATAAATATCGAAAATATATTTATTACTCTTTTAATGTCGTTTTATCTCGAAACGTTGTTTAATCGACGTAAATTTCATATTTTCAAATACATAATTGTGGCAATTGTTTATATTTAATCGTTCAGTTATATAATGTAACACACAATTTTACTGATGCATGATTCTTTTTACGATAAACAGGAGTATCTTGCGATGTAATATTCAATATTAGGTTCGCAATGATACACGAAATCAATAATAACAATTTTCACTGATAAGAATCTATTGTCAACTCTTCTAGTCTGTCCTAGGGCTAAATCAAAATTAGTTAGCGAAGAGAGAGAGGCAAAGAGAGAACGAGAGCGAAAAAGTGAGAGTGAAAGAGAGAGAGAGAGATAGTGAATGTAAATAAATAATTTAAAACCGTTTAAACGATGAAAAACGACCTTTGTACGGAACGTAGTGACTAAGGCCCAACGAAGAGGATTTCTGTACTTTTCGTGCATCTCGCAAAAGTTCGTTGAATGAAAAGAAAATGAATAAGAGGAAATGAAAAAAAAACTTGTGGATCAATGCGAACTTTTTAAGAAAAGAAAAAAAAAGGAAAAGAAGAAGTGTATAAAAGAAATTACCATAAATACGAGCTGTCCATAGTCAACTGAGATTAGAATCCTTTTTCCGAACGGCACAATGCAATTGTCAAAATCATAGTAAATACGTTGTTTACTCTACTTTCTACTGTTAGCAACATTTTTAAATCTATTATCTTACTTTTAAATTGTTTCCCGTCGTCTTTGAGTAAACGTACGTTCATTGAAAATAATTGGGAGAATCAGACGATTACACGCATCTCTTTAAATGCAAAAATTAGTGGTGATCGATAGACAGTTTTAGAGTACCGTTTTGTCTTTTCTTTTGGTGTAAGAAGTACCGCGTATCAGTATTGTATGATTTATTGTTTTCGTCTGCTTTCGCTTCAATTCTGAGGAACTCTCTTTAATACACGGAACACGTTGTAATGTATAAAAATGAAACTTATATATTTTCTACGGAATAAAAATACTCTTTAAGCGA